ATTTAGATGTAGTAGCTTAGTAGTAGTCTAGTAGGCCTGTGATAGCGTAGGTAGTTAGTATTAGTATGTAAGTTAAACAAAGTTAACTAGGCTTAATAAGGCTACAATTTTAAACTGTAAAAATTACATGTAGCCTAAATAAAAGGTTACAGACTAGTACATTAAATAATATCCAAAATTTAAGTTTAATCTAGATTAGTAGTCTAACAGTAATTTTAGGCCTCTAATAATAATAGTAAAAATTACTGAATAGAAGAGTAGGCTTACTAGTAAAGAGCTTATTTTAGTTCTACTTAATTAACTTAATATATGACTTAGTCTACTCTTAGTCTTATGTAGTGATCTTTAGAACTTAAAACGCAGAATAGTTGATAAAGCCAAAAGGTGTCAATTGTCATAGATGGATTAACTTACTAATCAAATTAATATAATTATCCTAATATTTATTCTAGTATGTGTATGAATTAATGATGGTTATAGTAGCCTAGTTTGAATATCAATTTTCAACTAATTCCTGAGGTGGCTAAACATAAGTAGTAGATCTTTATTGATACCTTTTTTGTTTTTAATAATATATACATGACTTTTGGACTCCTTTGAAGGCCTATTGTATTTAATGACAAACTCCTTACATTAAAATATTAAAAGTAAATTATTAGACCTATATTTTTAATGAATGGTAATGGTTAGATAGCCCATACAATCCAATACATAAATACACAGCATTGCTTTATGATCTTTATAAGACAGGCAAATATTTTTATTTATAACATTAAGAGTTGAAAGTATGTAAACATAATGAGTTTAATATAACAGTTTATGAAATTTATTTATGTTTTTTTAGATACTGTGGATTATACAACTGCATACAGAGAAGACAAAAGTCAAGATGAAGCTCAATTTAAAAACTGATCCAAGGATACATGTTGGACCCAAGAAAACTTGTTCATATTGAACAACTATTTTTTATTATGTTAGTTCTGAAGGAATATGGCAATTAAAAAAAGAAAATCATAAACTTTGTTATGTTTATTTTTTTTTTCAGCACTGGTTGTGTGTGCTGGTGTAAGCGGAAACTATATTATTGCTACCTTAATTCCATAATTAACTTAAACTGGCGAACTATAGTTTTTAAAAATATGGTGCTGAAGTAGATTTCACCTAGTTTTGTTGCCTCACCATATTAATAAATTGTATGGTCAGCAAAATGTCAAACAGCTTTTACTAAGTTGTACTGTCTATAACCAGTCAGGTACCAGTTAAAGCTGCTTTGAATTTGAATCAGAGACAACCTAAAAGATTAAAATTTCAACTCAAGAACTTTTGCTTTAGCAAATGTGTTCACAAATATGCAGTCCCAAAGTCTTACATTTGCATATATCTATCATAGATGTTAAACATAATGTTAAGGGAAGAATCAAGAATATGGGTTTTTGTCAATTCTAGCCATACCAGCATATAAATGTAGACCAGGCTTAGTGAAGCATGGCTGATAACTAACCATCAACCACAAATACACCAAACTATAATCACTACCTGTTTCCTGGTAATGTGTTTTTATTGGCCGTGCAAGTTTATGAACATTTTGTAATTGTAAATATATTACAAAAGAAAAAGACAGTTGCTGATCAGATGCATTCCAGATATTTAAGGAAAAGATGTTTTCTATAAGGATAGGCAGCTATAGTAAATGAGGTTAGGGGAAATGCTGAGTTAAGATAAACTATTTAATAATTGTAATGGCAGAGATACCATCAAAACAACAAATGTAATTGAGTTTGTATGACTAATTAATGAATATCCTATAAATAATAGCAAAATGCTGTAGTGGTCGTCCATAAAAGACTTTGAGGTAGTGGGGGAGATTTGGACCTTTGTGTCAAGGGGGAGGGGGTTCAGAAAGTAAGATGACACTTTTCCATGTTCAACAAACACTCATGTTAAGAAACTGAATTTAAGCCTTTATTTGCATTATTAAAAGTTGTTTTATAAATTGTTATAAAATAATTCATCAATAGGCCTACATTGAATGTTGGAAAAGCTCATAGGTCTAAATATTTTATGAAAGTCGGTGCTTTAAAAACAAAATAGCGGGGGGGGGGGAGGTGTTGGCTTAGGTTTACTTTTTTGGGGAAGGGGGAGGTCTGGCATCGTTGTGACATCGTTAATAGATGACCCCATAGTCAGAGGTCGATCTAGATTGATTAGGCCTATATTAAAATGTTGATATTAATTACGCTTTACTTATTATTACAATGGAATATAGCCTAGTAGTTTATTTATATTAAATAATATAACATCCCCTTTCACCACAACACCCTGACTATACTAATCCAAATTAAAATAAAAATGTTTGCTAAATTACTATTATTATATATTATTAGTAATTTTTAGTTTGAATATTTCTAGCCTTAGTAAAACCGGAAGTGACTTTGTACTCATTTCACAAATGTTATAAAATATTCAATTTTGGTTCAAAAATATGCTTTCTGGCAACACAAAGTGGAACCACTTTTGGAACCACTTTTCCAGTCTATACCCCAATGAACTCGCTCGGTAGCCTACACAGAAGTCACATAAGTCTTGCTATATAATATTTAGAGTATACTCAATATTTGCAGTACGTACTTCCATAGTTAAACAATTTTCATCATCACATAATGAAGAAGATTTAAATATCTATCTAAGGAATACAATGAGATTTAAATGTAAAATGTAATCAATGTAATAAAAAAAATGGAATGATAGCATGAAAAATATTGTATCTGACTATAATATGATCTTTTAATAGAAGTTTGATTTAATTATGAATGATAAAAGTAAGCAGCAAAAACTAAAACAGGCGAGGTAATATATGAAATTAATTATTTTCATATTTAGCCGAATTAAATCTTTACATTTTGTTTGTAGGCACATACGCACATCCAATAAATGATAAATATTTAACATTTTTACCTTTTTTTATTCCAATTCCCGTTGAATGTTCAAATGAACCCTCGTTAGAATCCGGCTATGATTGTATTGTATTATGGTTGTATTGTCCCGTGGAATCCAACACCTTTCATTTTTCTCAGCGCCAGTCTCTAACCCCTGGTTATTGCCCCTTATTTTTACTTTGCTATGGGTACTCAGCGCCAAAAAATAATTAATGCCCCTATGTGAGAAATAAACTATGCTGTTCGGTTCATTTATTACTGTAAAAATCAATACTTTAAAAAAGTAAGTTTATTTATTTTAAAAATAGAACAAATTGTTTTTATATTCACAATTATAGGCCAAATAATTTATATTTTCAGGAATATACCTTTTTCAAGCAATTATTTTAACGGAAGGACGGCGTGGCATAGTAGTAGAGAGCTACACTGCTAAACCGCATGTTTCGAGTTTGAATCCGGATTCATGTCAGTAGAGCGTCCCTGAGTCCACACAGCTCTAATGGGTACCTAACTTACGTTAGGGAATTAACATAGTGCTAACCATATTATCCCCTTGTATGCCGCGGTCATTGAAACAGATTAACTCAATTTTAATAGCCCCAATGTGTCGGGCACAAATGGGAAAAAGATTAGAGGAATGAATACCTCTACATAAAAACCGTTTCGTATACATTTTATGCTTTTTTTTTTAAATTATTTGTGGCATAGTTCTTCAAAGAAACCTTGAGATATTTATTCTTGTGTTTCTATTTGAAGTCAGATCATTTTCATTTCCGACCCTGCTATAAGATGGAAGCAATATACAAAAAACATGTAGACTCTAAAAAAAAAACACTATAGATTTTCAAACTACGAGGTGACAATCTTTTATTTAAAAGCAGTTAATAACTTTAAATGGCTTAGTACTATTATTTGAAATAATACCAACAAAAGTAACATTAGGATTAATATCAACAACATTTAATATTTTTATGTTAATTTTTTACATAAATTTAATATGTCAGTACATAAATTATCCATAAAAGTACAGCCTTCATCGACCACGCACATTCTAAAATATGATGTTTTAATATTGTTTAATTTCAACGATGTTCTATTAGCCAACTATCAAAATCAATGTAATCATTATTACATAAAACATTATATACATATAAATATATGACCTATGTGGCGGTGTGGCTAGTGGTAGAGCGCTCGACTGCTAGCCAAATGTCTCGAGTTCGGATCCTGGAGCTCACTTATGTTGTGCGACCCTGAGTCCACGCAACTCTAATTGGTACCTGACTCATGCTTGGGAAAGTAAATACAGATACTGAAACAGATGAACTCTACTTCATCTACCCTAAGACCGCCAGGTCCGAAAGGGTATTTACTTCTTCAGTTAGAAATAATAAAATATACCAGGACATTTAGTTTATGTTGTTTCAATATTAAACTACATAATGCCGAAACGACAAGAATCGACAATGAAATGAACTCTACTTTATCTATCCTATGTTTAATTTTCATAAATACTTTTCATTTTCAATCATAAAAAGAAACGTGATGTAATTTTAACTTAATTAAAGTAAGGACTAGTTAAATAAAACTACGTCAAGTGCATTAAATAGAAATAATTAGCTGGATGAAAAAAATAAAGATCGCCAGTGCATAACTGAACTAGTGCATGAATAATATAGTGAAACAGTCAGCATAAAATTCACATCTTATATTTTATACAGTGTATTGCTTCAGTGAATACGTCTACGTTTGCGTGACATCCTATATTAGGATGAAAAAGCAGGAAGTGTAACTCTGAAAATCAACCGGGAAAAGCTTTCATCGGAGTTATTCCAAGGGCAGAAAATTAAATATGATGTCCAATATTTCCATTACTGTGAGATACAGTGAAAGGGGAAGCTACTCCAATTGCTCGTATGATGTCCAATGTTCTCATTCCGATACTGTGATACTGTGAATAACTCATGCCAAGGGAAATAACTCAAATTGCTTGTGTTGTGTCCAAATAGTTTCTTAACGAAAGTGCTACGGCTACAGTGAAATATATATACCAAGGGGAGTAAGTCAAGTCGCTTGAATGATATCCAGATCCAGGGTTTTAAGAACATTTCCCATGGCATGCTGGGTTTCAAAATGGCGCCGCAGGTCGACCTTTCTTTGAAAAGCTCGTCCGCATTGGGCGCAGGCGAAGGGTTTGAACCCGGTGTGTTTGCGGCTGTGGGTGATGAGGTTGGATGACTGGCTGAACGCCTTGCCGCACTGTTGGCACTTATGGGGCTTCTCACCTGTGGACAGAGGGAGTTACAGCTTTGTTAAACGGTTTACTTAACCTTGTTATACAGCTTTGTTAAACCGCTTACTTAACATTGGTATGCATCTTTGTTAATCGGCTTACTTAACCTTGTTAAGTTGTTAAACAGCTTTGTTAAACGGCTTACTTAACTTTATTATACAGCTTTGTTAAACGGCTTACTTAACCTTATTATACAGCTTTGTTAAACAGCTTACTTAACCTTGTTATACAGCTTTGTTAAATGGCTCACTTAACATTGTTATACAGCTTTGTTAAATGGCTTACTTAACCTTGTAATACAGCTTTGTTAAAAGGCTTACTTAACCTTGTTATACAGCTTTGTTAAACGGCTTACTTAACCTTATTATACAGCTTTGTTAAATGGCTTACTTAATCTTGTTATACAGCTTTGTTAAATGGCTCACTTAACATTGTTATACAGCTTTGTTAAATGGCTTACTTAACCTTGTAATACAGCTTTGTTAAAAGGCTTAATTAACCTTGTTATACAGCTTTGTTAAACGGCTTTTCTTAACCTTGTTATACAGCTTTGTTAAACGGCTTACTTAACCTTGTTATACAGCTTTGTTAAACAGCTTGCTTAACCTTGTTATACAGTTTTGTTAAACAGCTTTCTTAACCTTGTTATACAGCTTTGTTAAAGGGCATACTTAACCTTGTTATACAGCATTGTTAAACGGTTTACTTAACCTTGTTATAAAGCTTTGTTAAACAGCTTTAGTTAAACGGCTGTTTTTTAAAGTTAAGTTAGACAGTGTTAAAATAATGAAGTGTTAAACAACTATTTAAACATGTGTGCTAAACATCTGAGTAAATCAGCTTAGTTAAAAAAGCTGTTAGGATTGTTTTGATAACTATCTTAAGCAGAAAGCTTTGTTATACTGTCGTGCTAAACTGCATCATTAAACAGCTTAGTAAAACAGCTGTTTTTAACTTCTTCGTTAAATATCTGTCAAACAGCTGAGTTAAACAGCTTAAAAACATCTTAGTTAAACAACTTTAAAAAAAATTAAAACTTTGACAAAAAGAATTTTTAAAATTTTATGATGGTTGTATTCGTGGTGAAACAGTCTGGATAACTGCCTTAAAAAAGCTAGGTCTACCATGATAAAAGGTCGTTCAAATTTGGTCAGGCCACTAATTGGATGAGATGTGTGTGCTATGACGTAAGAGCGTGGATTGGGGGGGGGTGATTAAATCTATGACTATATAAATTTAATTCCTTAAGATGTTAAAAATACTAATTTTTGTTAAAAATCTGGGAGGGTTGAACGAAAAACATGTCAGTTTATTTTATGTGGACGGGCCTGATTTGTAGACGACATAGCTCGTGGTGGCTAAACCGAAATGTCCCCAGTTCGAACCCCCGGGCAGATGAGGCATCGATACTCGGAGACAGTAAGTCTTCTAGGAGAGACAAATCCTAAATCAAACAACTGCTGCCTTGAGTTTGTTCTTGATGGGACAAAGGCTATGGAAGCAAATCCAAATAGAAAAGTCAAAGGCCGATATTTCGCATAACAAGTTGACACTAAATAGGCCTACTTAATTGTCTTGGAAGAAAATTACGTCCAACTTTACATTTCAGAGCACAGAAGAAGATGTCAGGTGATATTCGATGATAATGTAACAAAAATAGCCTATTTCTGAACTTGGTAAAAACCAATCGATCATTGCACGCAACTGACAATCGCAATCATCAATGATAACTCACAACGTTGATGATATAATCTCGTAGTTTCTCGTTGCGTTACATCCTAATGCCCGATTTTACCAACGTTTGAAATATGCATGGAAATACGTGGTTTTATCATAGGAAGTCGGGTCATTACTTTGCTTGTGGGTTACATAAATTGCTTTTCTGGCTACTTATGAAATTTCTCTAGGGTGTTGCCGTACCATCAATGCTATTATAAAACAATGTATAGGTCGCGGACAATCGCTCGCTAGTACTAGCCAATTAGCCCGTTTGGAGTTACGGGATATTGTATCGTACGGAAATTACTTTTTCCGGAAAGGCCGTTTGAATCAAATTATATGAAACAACGCCTCTAGATTTTCGCGTGGTAGTCTAGCGCTAAAACAAATATCGTCCTAATTATTGTTATGTATAGCGATTTATTTATAAAAAATGTTATTTGGGGAATGTATAGTAGACGAAAATGTTAAATTAGCTAAACAGACTAATCAGCACATGCGAGCACATATTAGTCTGCGCTGATCCGAGTTTGGTTCTTCTAAATTATGCATGAGGGATTGGTAATTGCGGTGGTGAACTTAGGGTAGAAATCGCTAGCAGGAATCGGTGAATGAATACTTCATGGCGTCCGATACTTGGATAGAAACACTGAACTTTGACGAATTAACGCTCTCTATAAAGATTAAGGGTACGAGGGTATGTAGGTCCATTTGTTTATGGTGCGCCATGAGTTTTTAATGCAGGGGCATTAGTAAACCTACTCGCGTGATCCTGGTAATATTAACATGTCTGAGTGGACAGGGCGGATCAAAACGTGATTAGTGTGTGGGGCGGCAAAAAAAAAAGAATAAAAAGTGTTACGCTGTGTTGAGTCCACCCCAGCGGCGTAGCAAGGTCGGGTGTCACCCGGTGCGGCACTTAATGGTGTCACCCCCCCAGAGGCGTAGCGGCCCTTCCCGGGGACAAACTTTCAAATTTTCGATTTGCACCCCCCCCCCCACTCAAGTTTTCGATTTGCCCCCCCCCCCCTCAAACTTTAGATTTGCATCCCCCCTAAAGTTTTCGATTTGCACCCCCCCCCCTCAACCTTTTGATTTGCACCCCCCTCTCAAGTTTTTCTCTATATATTTTGCTATTTTTTGCCTTGGTGTCACCCCCCTAAATGGTGTCACCCGGTGCGGTCTGCACCCCCCCCCCCTCGCTACGCCCCTGGCCCACCCAACTCTGATGAGTACCTTACTGACGTTAGGGTAAGTGTGATGACGCTAGTTCAGGGTTGATGTAGAAACAGACTATAGCTAGTTGGTTAGATAGACCAATGAAAATACAGGAACTGACCGGTCACGTGGGACGGTCATCTGACCACTGAAGCGTGGGTCAGTAGTTAGATCAGCGGCAGTTAGTAATAGATAGGGATAGTTAGCGAAGAGAACGGTCAGAGTTAGGTAGAGAATTAGAGGTAGATAGTGTGGTAGAGACGGTCGGAGATACATAGAGCTAGGGAACAGTTAGAAGTAGTAGTAGTGGTAGGAAGTTGAATGTGTACATTTTTTTGAAGAACGTTATATTTTGACTTGAACTTGTGTGTTGGATTCTCATCATCTTCATCACCCCCACCCTCAAACCTGGGGGAAGAGCTTCTATTCACCCCCACCCTCAAAGTAAGTAAAGGCGGCTGGGCATAGTGCGGACTACACTATCCCTTCATATGCCGAGGTCACAGGAACAAGTGAACTCTACTTCACTTGCCCCGTAAACCGTCATGTTTAAAAGGGAACTTTATTTAACTTTACGTTGTGTTGCTAATACTTTGTAGTAATAATCCTGCATTGTTACTTAGTTGTAAAGTTAAATAACTTGGAAGTGTGACAACAAGTGAAGAAGCGGATTATTGCTAGATGAGGCGTATAAAGCGTTAAAAATATAAATTCTGTATAATAAAAATATACAATTATAAATATAGAAATGGTTACGTCATAATGGAGATATGGGACCGCGTGGTCGAATGGTAAAGCATACGACTGCTAACACGAAAATCTCGAGTTTACCCCTAATCGGAACTTGACTCAGGTTAGAAAACATAAAGTCGGGTGGGCATATTGCTGAAAACATTATCCCCTTATAGGCCGAGGATGCTAAAACAGCTGAACTCTACTTCACCTGCCCCATGGGCTTATCAGGCTCAAAATAGTACTTTACATACATACATGGACGTACGGTGTACAATCAAATGTGAAATATATCGGTTGGCTATTGTACGGATGTTTTTATTTCCTGTCTTATTTTGAAAACTTTGACAGTACAGGGTTCGATATTTAGAGGTTTAGTCGAAAGATGACAATGGCTTAACTAATAATTATATATTTTGTAAAGGGGGGGGGGGGGAATAATTACTGGTATTAGAATGGATAGGGTAAGCACCCCAAGATTTTTTAATTTTTTTTTTAGATGTCTAGATTTTTTTTAAAGCTGTAGACTGCTGTTTTTCATACATTCAAACAAGAAGTTTAGATAAACTTTTTACATGTACACCATTTCAATATGTTTTCACCCATTGAGTGAAACCATTAACACAGGGCGGTGGCGTCGCTAGGTCGGGTGTCACCCGGTGCGGTCCGACTGCTGTTTCTTCGACGCCATTGACTCCACCTCTCACACCCCACACGCCCTCTTCCATACAAGCACACACACACACACACACACACACACAACAAGCCAAACCGGTAATAACAATTGTGCCAAAAACCTTCTTTTGTGTTGCGAGTAAAAACATCGACTGACACAAATAAGGGTGTTATGAAATGAAAATATCTCATACTACCGTTGATACTAAGTAGTATAACAATGCAAATGCTATAGGCCCTATTGTATAAACATGGAGCATATATATATATATATATATATATATATATATATATATATATATATATATATATATATATATATATCAGGAAGTGATTATTTACAAGCCATACTTCAACAAAGAGCCACATCTTCATCTAATATTAACACCATAATCTCGACGCAACATTTGATTTTTTTTTACCAAGAGTCGTTCAGGGACGAAGCTTGATACAGCTGTCGTCTACTTCATCTCTCCCCCTACACAACCGCTGTGGGCACTGCCCAAATTAATGCCTCGATTAATTATTTAAAGATGGATTCCCCCTCCCAAAAAACAAAAATCAGGACCATGGCCGGAAGGGGAGAGAATCTCAGACAGCGTGTCGGAAAATGTCATCGAAGGTTTTGGCCGGCGTTGAACAAATCGCGGACATGCTTTCACCGCTAGGGGGAGCTTGTCGCGGGGGGGGGGGGGTCACGTGCTTCTCCTGTGGCGTCAAGGTTCCGTGGGGATTCGGCCAATCCGCGCTTGATCTTTCGAGGGTCCATTTTATGAATGAGGTTATAAATCGCGTGTCGGCGGCGCTCGTGTCGGTATCGTCTGCTAAGGCCCAGTCAACGTTTGTGACATTTCATTTGACCTTTACTGCCGTCTGTTACGACACTTGTGTTGTATTCGGGGAAAAAATGGGATGGGGTGGAGGTGGTATTTTGTTTTTAAATTTCCAAGAAAAATAGTTATAGGTTGACTTGAACTACCGAAAAAATTGTGTGGGGGGAGGGAGGAGGGGGGAGAGGTAGGTTATGTTGACTGAGATGATTGTGTAAAACAGAAGGGCGGGAGTGTGTCGTATTGTGTTGGGCGGGAGCAATCAACTTTCTCTGATTCTACTCACGCCGGAATCAGTTAAAAAGTATAGCTTTTAGGGTCGTTTTTTTTTATTTAAACGCAATAAACCGCAAAAAAAAAGTTGAGCATACTCGATTTAGAAATATTAGAAGTGTGGTACTTGATTAAATTACACGTAAAAATGGAATTGATGCATACGTCGTTGGAAATCCCCGATGGTTATAATAATATGGTGTGTGGACTCTATAGAAACCAGATAGATGGTGACTCATAATATACAGTCTGTTATAGGCCTCACTAAGATAGTGAAAGTTTGTAGTGGGGGTGGTAACGGAGCTGTGTTGTGTGTTGGTGTTGTTTGAAAGGTAGAATTTTTTTTTCCGTTTAGTATCGTCATCAAATATCGTCATGACAATAGACAGGGATTTGGAATATGTTTTATGCAGTTTATCTGTTGATTTAATTGTTTTAATTTGATGTATTTGATTAAATTAAATTATAACTTTTATTTATGTGATTTATTAGTATTGGGGATTATGAAGAAATGTAATGCATTTTATTATCGACCCGATTCCATTAACAAATCACTCTTATTTGAATAGTCATTTCGTTGTTTGTTTTTTGTTGTTGTTTTTTATTTCTTTTTTAATTGTTTTTTTTTCACAAGCCTTGAGCCACCAATTGTTCTTTTTAACAATGTCCCAGAAGGGTACTTCTTTTAAAACTACACCTTTTTATTTCACTCGATTTAAATTTGTACACTACAAAAAATGAAGTTTTTGATAAATAAAGTTTGTTTTGATAAAGCTATTGAACAAAGCAGTTTAACAATGTTTTAAAAAATGTGACAAACGTACACTCACCTGTGTGGATGTACGTGTGTTTCTTCATGTCAGACTTTTGGTGGAACCGCTTCCCGCAGTAGGGGCAGGGGTAGGGGCGGGTGTCACTGTGGATGAGCAGGTGGGTGCTGAGGGTGGAGGAGCGCTTGAAGGTCTTCCCACACTGGTGGCACTCGAAGCACCGCTCCTGGTTGTGTATGACGCGGTGCTGGTCAAGGCTGACTGAGTGGCCGAACGTCTTGTTGCACACCTGGGGACGAGGTTAAAAAGTGAGTGCCTGGTAATGGCAGGTTGACGGGAGATGGCGCGTGATTGTATCAGGAAAAACGTACTTTAGAACATAGCAAATAACTATGACAAAATGAAAGTAGGTGGAAAGAATGTAGGATTAGGAGAACCTCTTCTTCTTCGTTCTTAATTTTAGTGTTGGAAGGGATCCCCTCCAACACAATTAAGTATACGTGTCAACAGGTTTTGCGCCATTGAGGCCATTGACTCCGATTTCAGTCTGCTTTTCTTTTTGGATTTGCTTCCATAGCCTTTGTCCAACCAAGAACAAACTACAAGGCAGCAGTTGTTTAATTTTGGAGTTGTCTCCCCAGCTAACGAGCCTCATTTGCTCGAGGTTTCGAACTCGAGACTTTTCGGTTTAGCAACCATGAGCTTTGTAATTATCTACCACTAAATTTCCTAACAATCGAGTTAGACTGAATATGATCTACGCCATAGGGGATGGTGTGGTCGGGTGGGCGAACGTTTGAATGTTAGCTCGTAAAGTCCGCTTTTCGGACCTGGGCATATGAGCAAACCATTTGGGAGAGAAAAATCTAAAATCAAACAATTTCTGCCTTGTAGACTGATCTTGGACGGGAAAAAGCTTGGAACCGAATCCTGAAAGATAAGCAGGCTGAAGTCGACTGACTATTTGTCGCATAATATGATGAAACATTACCCTTTGTTATGTTAAAGACAATTCCCTTCAGTATTACAATCAAGAATAAATTAGAAGAGGGAAGGAAGATTGTTGTGAACACTCAAAGTCTGTTTGAAACCTAACGCGTAACGGAACAAATAAACAAAACCACGAACATGGAAAAAACCAAAGAAATAATTTTAGTGAGTACTCTAGGACTATTAACAGTATTTAGATACCACTGTGTTCTAGTTTGTTTGTAAATACGTTTAAGTTACAATAGACTGTGTTTATGTGATATTTCATGTAGAGTAAATAGGGTAGTAAAGAGAAGAATTTTTAGATATAGCGATTTATTGGGCAGATGAAGTAGAGTTCATATGTTTCATGACCTCAGCATATAAAATTTTGCCCAGTAGCTTTTACTTTCCCTAACATGAGATAAGTACCCATCAGAGCTGGGTGGACTCACGGGAGGTTCTATTGATTTGGACCCAGATTCGAACTCGAGACTTACAGCTTAACAGCATAGAGCTCTACTTCTTAGGCCACGCCGTCCCATAGTGTAAATAGGGGATTAAGTCTTTATTGTTTTTTTTTTAGTTTAGCGAGCATGCGTTTTATTTGTGTATTTCTATTAAGCTTTTTTGCACCTACTCTTAAACTGTCCCATGCATTTTTAGCCTCCCATCTGTAAAACTGCTGAAAAAGTAACTCAACTAAAAAAAACAGGTCGAGACAGCCATACTTACATTACAAGCAAACGGCCTTGAACCGGCGTGTGAGCGCCTGACATGAACCTCCAGCCCGTGGGGGGTGCTGAACGGCTTCTGGCACTGCCCGCAGTGGTACGATGACGTCATATCCTGCCCCAGCGCCGTGATTTCCGGTCTGAACGATGACGTAAACTCCGACAGCGCCCCTAGCGACGTCATGCATTCGCTTTGTCTGCCGCCGAGGTTATCTCGTAAGAAATGACCTTGACCGTGGTAATAGTCACATGGGATCTCGCGACCAAGAAGCAGAAGATCCGAACATTTCTTCCAAACGGTATCTGGGTACATGAAATCGTTTCTCAAACCGCAGACGTCTCTTTGCATGGGATTAAAATCCGAGTTGTAGAAATTGAAATACGGCCGGTGACCGGTTTCCGGCCAAGCTGTTTGTTTTTTAACCGGTCCGTACGTAAAACTAGCCGGGGAACTGAATTTCTGGCAGACGTCGGCGAAAGATGATGTCGTTGGGTACACCGGTGAGATTGGAAACTGTGTGGATGGCGAAGTCTGGCCTAGAGAGGATGGTGACCCCTGGCAGATGGAGGGTGATGACGTAGATGATGATGATGATTCCGATGACGTCAGCGTGTCCCTTGGCGATAGTTGCGGGCTCATCTCGATTCGTTTCTGACCTTTAGAGAAAGATAAATCAATGTAACCTCAGCCCTAACTTTGTTAATGAATTAAACACATAAACAGACATGGGAGACAAACCATCGGGACTTTAAAACTCTAGAACATAAACCTTTTAGACATAAACAACCTGAACATAAACCCCCGTTATAAACCCATGGACATAAACTCAGTGTTTCTTCCAGACTTTTTCCTCCGGGGGGGGGGGGGGGGGGCACTTGAAATTTTCTGGGGGGGGTCAACATTTTTCGAGGGGGGGGGGGGGCGGAAACTAGTAAAAGTGTAAAAGTGTAAGTTTATTATATAAAATCCATCTCCCCCCCCCCCCCCCCGAAGAGATGCCTGGAAGAAACTCTGCATAAACTTTTTGGACATAAAACCCTGACATATACCTTTTGGACATGAATTCCCGGGACATAAAAACCTAAACAAGATCCCTTAGATTTATACCCCTCTGTACGTAAATCCTAAGGGCGTAAGTCCCTGGATTTAAAACCCTGGCCATAAACCTCTAGTACATAAACCCTTTGAACATAAACCCTTGGACTAAACCGTTGTACCTAAAATCTGGTTATAAACCCTAGGACCTAAACCCCCGTGACATAAACACCTGGACTAAACCCTTGGACCGAAAACCCTGATCATAAACCTCTAGTACAAAAAAAACACCTTGATATAACACCCTTAGACATAAACTCACGGGAAATCAACCTACTATACACACCACCTCCCCCATCTTCAGTAGCTTGTATACCTTACAATTGAGTTCGTGAGTCAACCTCCTGTGAATAGTACCTGCCTTACGCTAAGGAAAATAAAGGCGGCTTGGCATAGAACTGACTCACTTCATATATCGTGGTTACAGAAATGTGTTAACTAATCCATCTGCCCTGTTGACCTCGAGATCAGAAAAGATAACTTTACTTTTGTCTTTACTTCTAGAATTCGTTTAAAATTATATTCACAACTCACCAGTCCCGTTCTCTGTGTTTTGGGCAGCCGACTCCCACGGCCTAAATAATCCATTACTAATTTCACTGGATCTGTTATTTGATGGTGTGGTATCGTAGGTTCGATTCGTATCCTTCAAGCATTTGCCATCCATCGACTTAGAGATTCGATACTCTGTATTCATATCGATACTGGTTTTGTGCTGGACGAATCTGTTTGCATCAACATAGGGTGTGTTAGTGGTTGCTGTTTGAAGGTATCTGCTTGTTTGGGGGTTGGTTAGGGTTAACTCTTGATTCGTGGCGAAAGACTTGAAGGCATTTAACCCAGGGTTGTTGTTATTTTTATCCATGTGGCCAGATTTTCGTGCCGGAGATGACGTCATGTGCAAAAAATTTGTTGTTACAAAGTCTGGAGAGAAAAAAAATAATTTTAAAACATTTAAACCATAGCAAGTCATTGGAGGCTTAATTTTACTTTTATCGCTATCCTAACCTTAGCCAAAACCCACCTAATCTAGACGCGCTCTCTCTCTACCTACCAGCCTAACCTGGCCCTAATCGAAAATTTCTAAAAACTATAATCCTAACATTAAAAACCAAGAAAACAATAATAAGATGTTGTTTTGTCTATTCGGTATTTTTTTTATTGTAAGGAATCATCAATTAATAGGGGGAGGAGAGTTCGGAATTTAGTGATTAATGTGTAATACGGGGGACACTGGGGGGGGGGGGGCGGGACTGAGAAAGTGTGAAATTTCGCGTTTTTAAAACGTTTTTCTTAACTCAGCTTCGCGTTTGTTTGTTTGTTTGGATGTTTGTTGTTAAAATTGACATCGAAAATTAGCCCACTTCTGATTGCTCTAGAGACCTGAAATTTGGCATGCATGCTACTTTCGCCTAACAATTTCAGATGCAATCATAAAAACTAGCAATTAGTGACCGTAATTAGCTTAATTTAATTACGCCCCAAGGACCATAAAATTGAGGACATGATTTCTAAAGATACCGACAAGACTGAAGTATTGACACAGTTACTTCGGCCCCAATCGATGTGAGCGCGCTGGCCGTGATCGTACAGTGGTTAGTACTTCGCGTTGTGGCCGCGACAACCCAGGTTCGAATCCTGGTCGCTCAAGATTTTTAGTCCGTGTATTTATAAACACTTTTTTAAAAACCACGTTTTTCATGTGTAGCAACGGACTAAGAAGGAGAAAATAAAATACTTAAAAAAAACTTTTTAAAAAACCACGTTTTTTATATGTAGCAACGGACTAAAAAGGAGAACGGACACGGTAACACATTGTTAACGGTGACACGGTTGGTACGCTGGGCATGCTAAAATACACATAAACACGTTTTTCCTTAACTCAGCTTCGCGTTTATTTGTTTGTTTATGGGAGATTTGATCACGTGATTCGTGAGTAGATCTCCACGCCAGCAACGTAAATTACACCCTTTCTCTGTTTAAAGCGTATCGGTCGCTCAAGATTTTTTTAGTCCGTGTATTTAAAAACACTTAGTCAAGTCATACCTAATCAAGTGATTAGATAAAGTAGAAAATAAACTATATAAAAAACTTTTTAAAAACCACGTTTTTCATGTGTAGCAACGGACTAAAAAGGAGAAAATAAAATACTTAAAAAAAACTTTTTTAAAAACCACGTTTTTCTTGTGGACTAAAAAGTAGAAAATAACTATTTACATACATTTGATGACAAAAAACGTGGGTCGGGCAGATGGGTCGGGAAGTTTGATGGTGAACGTACCCACGTTTTTTGTCATCAAATGTATGTAAATAGTTATTTTCTACTTTTTAGTCCACAAGAAAAACGTGGTTTTTAAAAAAGTTTTTTTTATTTAAAGCTATTAGTGTAAACTGTATTGATTAACACACTCCGTTGACCGAGATCAGTTAGTATTTTAGAAAGGTATTTATGTTTTTAATGGAATTTTGCGGGGGGGGGGGGGGGGTTGTATGCTGAAGTATGAATACAAAAAAATATATTCTATTTCACCAACTTTTTCATTCTTCTTTTAGCCCTAGCGATTCATTGGGCAGATAAAGTAGAGTTGTGTATGTGTTTTATTTTACTTCAGCGTATGAATAGATGGTGTGGTCAGCACTAAGCCCAGCTACTTTTACTTTCCCCGACATAAGTCAGGTGCCCTACAGAGCTGGGTAGACTCGATCGTCTTACAGTCACGAGTCTCAGATCCGAACTCGAGACCTCCGGGCTAGCAACCAAACGATCTACCAATTTACCACGCCGACCCACATCAATTACGGGTAGTATGCCGGGTACCAACCAGAGCTGAGTTGGCTCAAGTAAGTCATCTACATTCAAGTCAAAGATGGGATCGCCATCGGGATTCGAACCTCAGGCTTTTGGGTCTGTGTTCATAACAAACGCTTGCCGCCAAGCACAGAAGTAATTAGCGGTATTATAATCTGATGAACCCCCACATTAGGTATACGTAGTCATAACATACGACGGACTAGATAGTTGTATTGGTTCGTATGATTCAATGATCAATTATCACATAATAGGTTTCTTGACCTCAGCATATGAAGGGATTGTGTATTCAAAGAAATTCGATGATATAATAGCATTTTAAAAAATTATTGAAATCATATTAATTTTTCGGCTTTAAAAGATATTTAAAAATTTACTTTTAATGGCGTACTATTTTGTAGTTTCAATATGATAAAGAATTACTTTTAATAATATATAATTTTTAAGTATAAATGTGATGAACAACGTGTAACTAATTAAATTATAAACACTTATTTTACTTTTAATGGAATCGCTTTATCTGAGTTCAATTACAAAGGTATCGGTAACATTAAAATACCTAATGGTGGCAATTACTATCAATTTTTATGACAAGTTTTGAAGCATAACAACAAGCTCGATGAAAATAAATCTATAGGGTAAAATTTCTACATATATTCAGTTTTTACGTTAACTCGTGCTATTAATTAGCACAGTGGTTCTCAACCGGGTTCGATTGAACTCCAGGGTTTCGGTGAGTCCGTCTCATAGGTTAGGTGGAGTTATATGATTCGCGATCAGAATTTAGCAATGTGGACGAGAAATTGATGAAGTTTGGTACCTCCAAAAAGGTTAAGAACCACTGACTTTGAATGATATTAATTAGCATAAAATTCGTTTATTCTAGATAATTTAACATTTTCTTTAAATTGTTTGTAATGTCATTAAGACCAATGATTTGAAATACGCCTGGGAGGATTCTTAGATATATATGTATAACATCTATCAATAGAATTTTATAGTATATTATAGATACATTTTTAATAAAAATGTTATAGATAATTATTTTAATTTGTAGGTAAAATATTACAAAATAAGATTTTACTAGAACTAAATCGGTTTAGTTTGGTCCTTAATATTTCTTTTAAATAAATCTTGTCCGATGAAACTTGAAAATTTAAAGTTGCCTTGCGTTTCTATATATATTCCTTGATTTTAATAGGAATTCCATACCAAGAAAAGAAGATAAATTTGAAAAATAATTGTTTTAGCATTTTTGTCAACACTTATAACTGCATTGTTAAATTAATTTTTTGACGCTCTTATTTCTGATGTGTAAATTGTACTCATCCCGACTGTTATAAAAAAAGTTACAGAGTTTGGAGTTTAAGGACACTCAGCATATGAAAGGATAGTGTGCTCAGCACTATGCCCAGGCGCCTTTGTTTCCTTAACGAAAGTCGGGTACTCATCAGAGCTGGAGGATTCGGGAACGTCAAATGGACTCAATCAACCTCAAGTTCCGAACTTAAGACTCCGGTTAGCAGTCGAACGCTCTACCATTCGACCACACAATTAGGAGGTCCATCGGCAGCTGAAGTAGATTTCATAAAATGGGACAGTGTGGTCAGCACTATGTCCAGCCGCCTCTATTCTCCCTAGTTTCAAGTACATTGTACTGTACACATCAGAGCTGGGTGATCTCAAAGACGTTCTACGGATCCGATCTCAAGACTTTCGGGTTAGTAGTTATACG